TTGATGATAAAAGTTGTATTGATGTATTAACTTTATTTTCTAATGGTAAATGACTATTTTATCCACACAAAAAAAACTCTCATCACCCCCTTTCACTATCATCTACATTTTCAAATCCAAACCCTCCAATGACATTGACACTTCCTTCTTCGACTTCATCAACCTCAACCTTTTTTTTTTACTCCGTCAACCCCAATGACGATATTGTCGATCTTCAACCCCTTTGTTAGTCAAGTAGCCTCGTATAACTTAAGAGGGGAGGTGAATTAAGTTATCCAATTTTTTTCTTCCTTTATTTCTTTTTAGAAATGCTTTCTCATATATTCAAATTCTTAGACAAATTGTATGTAATTAATGATGCAAAACTACTCAAAATACAAGTAAGTAACAACTAATTAAAAGTGTAGGAAAAAAAGAATTGCAAACTCAATTTGTAGGGAAAGAAGAATTGTAAACTCAATTTTATACTGGTTCGGCCAATCCTGCCTACATCCAGTCTTCAAGTCTCCAACTTGAGATTTCCACTATTCTTGTAACTCTTACAAGACTTGAATCCTCCAACACCTTGGAACTCTCTTTCCTTGTGTTGAGATTCAAAAATCAACAAGGAGAAAAATCCTTTCTCCTTTATAGATCAACTAATCAAGTGGGTATTATAGAATGACTCTATTTGAAGAGTAGATATTACACTTTCTAAGATCTTGATGAACTCTTTAGAGATTTTTGCAAATGACTTTGGCTAAGTATTTTTTCTAAATTGATTTTCACAATAAAGTTCGTAACCCTCTTCTGAAAAATTATAGGTATTTATAGACAAATATTTCTTAGGTTGTTCATGAAGAGTTGTAACTTGTGACACCCTCTACCCCGCATACCATAACACATAATAATAAAATTTAAATAACATATTTCATAATTAAAATATCAAATGTTTTCAGAAAGAGAGTAACACATCCATAACTTAACAAAATTAGCAGAAATTACAAAGAAATAAAACTAAAGTTTCTAAAATAATTTAATAAAAACATCTTAATCTAATCCTATCTACGCTCGATGTCATGTGTCCTATCAGAGCAAATTCCAAAATAGAAGCCTAAGCTTCATTACCAACATCTTCAGCCTCATGCTGATAATCACCTGTATAATGGTCAAAGGAAAGCAACACAAAGAAAAGGGAGTGAGAAACATCTCACTTTGGCACACAGTGTAGGAATATAATAATATCACATATCACTCATTCAAGACATAAAAATATCAATTTATCAAATAACATTAAAATGCACATGGATGGACACGGACTACATTTTATCATGCATGTGGGGCCAGTAACATATCACATGGCATATTGCCGCTAGCAATACACGAAGAGTAGTCTAGGAGTACATGCCGGGTCACACCCTCTGCGCACTCTCACTAGAAGGACATACTACCAGAGTCTCGTTGGGATAGCTAAGCCGCGCAAGATACATCCCATGCACACAATGGGCGTGACTGGAACTTCCAAACCGAGCTATCTCCAAGGACTAATCCCCAAAGCTTTTACACTAGGGGGCCTTCTCTGGCGGTGTATTCCATATCGTACCCTTAAAAACATTTATGCACGTGATGCATGTCAATCAAGACTCCATGCTTTTCTCATATCATATTTTCATATCTCATTCTCATATCATATTATCATGTCTCATCATCATAACACATCATCATATCACATCACCATATAACATTATCATTTCTCATTATCATATCACATCATCATGTCACATCATCATATCACATCACCATATCACATCACCCTATCACATTATCATATTATCACATCATATTCACAATTTTCACAAAGTACTTTAATTCATATAAAAACATATTCATTTTCAAAATTAACCACATACTCGTGCATCACATTCAACAAGGAACATAACAAAGCAATCAGAAGGCAAAACAGAAAACATTCATATTTTGCTCGTTTTCTCATAGGGTTTCTCGTAGGAACCCACAGAAATGTCTACCTAGAGTCGCTATGGGCTATAGCGACAAAAAGTCGCTATGGCCCACAACGACCTCAACTTTTTTATTTTCAAATTATTTATTTTTTTGAGTCATTGGATCATTTTTTTTTAGATTTATTTTACCATTTTTTTTTTTAAAATTATTTTTTAATTAATTATTTTTTTTTGCGTTTTTCTACATTCTTTCCCTTCACTTATTTTGGATTATTTGAAAAAATCTTGTGTTTTTTAATTATTTTTTTTCTAGATTTGTTTTTCCCATTTTTTAAAAAACATTATTTTATAATTCATTTTTTTTCTTCTGCCTTTTTTTTACATTTTTTTTCCTTTAGTTATTTTTCCTTTTATATTTTCCTTTTTCTTTTCTTTTTTAGATGTATTTTAATATTTTTTTTACTTTTTTTAAATTATATATATATATATAT